TTGCTTCAACAGTTGATCTTTTCAGAATACAGACTACTTTATTTGAGAGCAAAGATTATTATTGACTACGGTAATCGGAAATGGGGTCTTGTACGGGCCTCCCTTTGCACATTCTCAACGTTTCAGCTCATCTATTTCTATGAATATGAATACTAGGCCCTCTTGGCAAATCAGCAAATCAAGAATGCATTATCCTCGTTTGACGGGACTGGGCGGCCGACCCAAGACATTATCGGTTTTCATCTGAACATCAATAAGGGCGAAGACCCGCTGACAGCGACCCGCCTAGTTGATTTTTCTTCTCCTCCCTTTTAACTAAAACCTTGCACGCCTCCAGAACATATGATTGATCTGAATAAGCTTTTGAAGATTATCTATTGAATGTTTAAGTCATAATAGAAGTTTAGACGTAAGTCCTAATTGTATTTTTACATTTCATATGTATAAAATCAATGAATTGTTCACTACCTTCATGTTACATTTTCATAGCAGGATTCAAATCTTTGTACATACGTGATTATTATGCATATATCCCATGAAAGTAAAAAATATATACAGACAATAGTCCAACTAAAGTCCACTATTTGCATTGGTCAAGTGTCATCGTAAAATAATATCTTAACCATCCAAAATATTTCCGATATAACATAACCAAATAAGTTATCTACTGATAGCCTACAACCTTTTTTTGGCATGCAAAAAGGGTAAGTGAGTCCATAGTAAATAAATGTGCCATACAAGTTTTGAACCTTTTATTTAAATATAAATTTTGTAGGGGCGTTAAACTCTTGGATAGAAACAAAACTTTCTTGAGCCTTGAGAAACTTAAATTTTGAACGTTTCCTTTACAGATTTAAGTTTTGAATATTTACCTAAAATGTGTCTCACTCAACAAATTAAATTCTTACGTAGCCCTTCGCATTATCTCAGTGTTATTAGTAATCTCAAAGAGTAGAAAATATAAATGTTCAAAAATTTGATATGTTTTCGATTTTGTTTTAATTCCAGTGCGATTATTGTGCAATTATCGTCATACAGACTGCGTTTTATCAATTCGTTGACTTTACTTTGACAAAACTTGTCCCTCTCGATTGAAGCACATTCAAAATAGTACTCGTAAAATACACTTTGAGTGAAGTATGCACCTTTTCTCTCAAGTTTTACAATCTTCCTAAGCCACAGCATTGTCAAGAAAAGTGGCAGGCTATACATCAATCAGGATTCAGGAGAACCAGAAGACAAACCCTCTAACCAATAAACAACAGGACACAATTTGGCAACAGTTTATCACCTCCATTGTCCTGGAAGAGCAATCCTGTGTCCCCTAATGGATGACTTGACCTCTGTTATCAGTGGCATTGTTGTCGTCCTAGTGATAACAAACAACTGGTTTATAGCTGGAGATCCTGGGATTGGGAGTTGGTCTATGGTGACATCTTCTGGCCTCTCTTTCTGAAGAATTCAGGATGTTCGTAGGTCAAAGGTCAATTAAAGGTCGTTAATGTGGGCTATAGGGTTTATGTTTAAAATTATGAATGTGTGGTTTATGCCTTTGCGTTGTACACATTTTATATTACTTGTTAGCCTCATTTCAGGAAATTTGCCCTGAAAAGTTAACTTCTTCAATATGTCTTAAACTACGAATTTCTTAGCGTTTTTGTAACAATCGTTTCAGAAAATCAAGAACAACATTAGTGCAAGCAATTCTAGTACTAAAACTGAATGTTCAAACACTTTTCCCAATTCAAATAAATAGCCTTGCTGGTAAACTCAGGTTATTGTAAAATGGTATATTCACAAACCATCTTTGGAACCAATGTTACATGTTTCAAACAATACTTGAAAAGAACAGTCATAGGTCAATTGAACCCACTAAAACTATGAGAATTTTGAATTATACTATAGTCCAACGTCACTAAACCTCTTCAAATCGTCTAACAGGGCCTTTATTCAGTGATAAGGGTTTCAGCCTAAACTATTTTGCGAAGTTCGACCAAGTATCTAAAATTTTGGTAACCGGTAACTTAAGATGAGGAAACCTAAAAAATAAAGACTAGAGACCATTTTATGATAATTCAGTGTTTAACACTTAAAGTGCCGTTGACATGTTTGAACATGAAAATTGCATTTATTTCAATGTTAAGCAATGGCGGGAATTCCCGTCATCAGCACCCAACGTGTTAATATACCAATCTTGGGTGGACGATTTCCCGCCATGCCACCATTGGTCAGCTGTCGGCCAGTTGGCCCATAGACCACCTGTTGTAGCCCAACACCTGCCGTTTGTCATTAAAACGAACACTATCCCAGCGTTTGATTCCGTGGTCTATGGACATCAACGTATAAAGCTGCCTCCAATAAACATATTGCACGAGCTTCATCGTTGACTTTGGTCCCTAAAGTACATATTAGGTCTATGTGGACTAACTTTAGATATACTTTGTATAATGGAACCTGCTTCCCGACCCTTTGTCTACCTGGTTAATGAACAATGGTTTAAAGCCCAGACAACGCATATTACACGGAGGACCAGGAGAAAGGTTCCAACATATAGACTATATTCTTAACTCAAAGTGAACATACTTTTTCATGGAAAGTTTTGCATATTAAGATAGAATATGAGTGCTTCAAATATGCAATACAGTAACCAGCCCTTTCAGTTTGGTATCAATATAATATCCCTGCCGCAGCAAACCTGCAGACTAAGCAAATTTCCAATTGTCTGATTGGACATTAACTTAAAATATTTCCTTAAAAAAAATCAGATTTACTCCCTTTTTAAAAAGGATTATGTTTAACGTGTAGGTAGTTAGATTTTCTGCTACAGGTAAGGCTAAAGAAAGTGTTTTTCAGCCTCATTCCATAACAGCTTAGTATAAATAAACAAACTGACTTCAACTTTACGTACTATCATCGACTGAAAGCACTAGAGTAAATGATTCTTCAAAGATGTGTAAATATTGTCAACGACATCGTTAATAAACAGCGTTTCATACAGAACATCTTCTTCAATTTCCTTCAAACGCGAAATTCAATCATTCTTAACTTGGAATGGGATACAAAATCTCAAGTCTAATTGGATTCTTATTTTTAAAAATTCATCAAACTTGTCAAATTTATTCCCTATTTAAATATTACATTTCATGTGTACCTAGGTTTGCTGCTACAGGGAAGGAAAAGGTGTTTTTGGTCAATAAGTGAATATGTCGATAAGTGGGGAGATGGTAAAAATTGCTTGGTAAAATACTAATAGCAGAGTGTGAAATAAATAAATTTTCCAAATTCGATGCAAACACATCCAACAAGCAATCAAGTGCTTAATTTCACATCATAAGAGCAACATTGGAATTTTAAATGCAAATCGCTTAAAGGATTAACATCCACAAAACTTTAATGGGTTTGGACCGCTTTCCCTTAAAAGAGTTCAATCTCACGTTGCCTTTAATGAAAATACCTTTAGCGTATGAGAAAAAGGAATCGACGATTTAGACTACAAACTATCATGCCGAGACAGAGATCGCATCACATGGTGTAGTAGGGAAACTTATCTACTAATTAATTGCAAACCAATTAACAGCATTTTTGCACGTAGTACACACACAAGGACAGGAGTAACAACTAGACTCATGTCTTTATTAGATTGCCATAACCTGTAAATTCACCTCGTGTTGCTATTAATGTAGACATAAAGTCCTTCTATGCACACTTTCGCTTTTATACTCTATGTTTTATGGTTGCTTCGTCTCTTATGGAACATTATTGCTACCATTGTCTGTTACTGTGCCTTACTGTGCAACGATTGATGGAAGCCAGCTGTGCAATTTGTGTAAAGATCAAAGTTGACTTTTTACTTTCTCTTTTTGTTTTGCGTATACTACAGTGTCTTTGCGATAAGGCTTTCTCTAAATTGGTATATAGGGGAAAAGAGATGGAGATGGAGAATTCGTTGGAAAAACAGCTTCTTCCCTAGTTTGCCGCAAAAAGAAGTTATTAAACGCGGAAATTGTGCTACACAAACCCCAAATATCTAGCAAAAAATGTAATACATTTTTGGTTAACTGATAAAATTGTATTACAAATTAAACACGATGACCATTATGATTGTTAATTAGTAGAGATGGGGGCGCCACCTGGTGCGTATTTTAACCTTAATATGAGTGAAGGATGAATGTAGATTATTCAGAATCCAATAGCATAGACTAACCAACACAAGTAGACTTCTCATCACATTGTAACTTTTGAAGCACGTTTTTCGTGTCTAGTTCATGTACGTGACACAAAGGCGCTAGTGTCGATGAAACTTTGTTTCCATTATTTTAAGGTTAATTTCTTGATTTGTGCTTTACTGTTTGGTTATATAACTAGGGGACAAGTTATTGTTTATGATTAGATCGTATTATTTGGTTAAACGAGGTTTTAAATGGTTGTAATAACGGGAAACAAATTGTAAACAAAACACGACCTCTACATAAACCGTACATGAACTAACAATAAAATTGTCTTCAGCTGTTCCATAAGGATGAGAAATCTACTAAGGGAGTATGTTTTATCTATGCCAATAGTCAATGGTAGAATGTTGTGAGATTATCTGTGTAGCTTTGCTACTGACTAAGATCAGCTGTTTCATCGGTCAGGCTAATTTTCTAGTTAAAGCCCAATGATTAGTTTAGAACCATCAAATAATAACAAACCCAGTTTTTGGAGGGTTGTTTCTTGTGTAGCAAACCACAATCGTTAAAAAAATCACAGTGATATGATTAGTTGAGTTGTCCCCAAGTCGGTTCGCGACGACGCAATCGTCTTCAAAATACTAACTTTTATCGTATAACCCTAGATTCTACAGCCTGTATGATGGAGCTTGTCTCATGACCATTGTCAACCTGATACATTGTTTTAACACATTGAGCAGTCTCCATGTAGACCTCGGTCAGGAGACAGGATCTGTCATACAGAGTATAGATCAATAAGTTATTGGCTTAAAGATACTATGTATGTTGCAGCACTGACGCTGGTGATGCTGGAGCTCAGACAGCGACAAGCACAAGTTCATGGGGCTGCGGCCATCGTCTCTGGTCAAGCCTAAGATATCCATGACATGGGTGCTGAAAGGTGACCACTCCACCGAGCCGCTCAGACCGCCCTCTCAGACCAAGAATAGGTAAATTGAATGAGGGGTGTGTTATGTATAGTATGTATGATGGATCCTGCCTCCTGAACCTCCTTCTACCTGGGACTGAAACCATTGGCCTGTCCCCAGAGAGATGGAGTGTCAGGACACAGGTTATATCACACAGAGTATAGCTGGATAGCTGAGTTTGATACCAAGGAGGTAGGTTTCATTCTGAGAACAATTAGTGTCTCTTTGGTGGTTCAGAAATAAACCTAACAGTCTTAGATACGAGGACTTTTAATAAAATGGTTATGGTTATTTTGTTTATTAGTAGTTTTGTAATTTATCATTTTTCTTTGGTGTTTTGCACTAAGATGTGGATAGTATTTGTATTTATTAAATGGCTAAACATATACTAACTGCTATAGCTATATTTTTAAACGACGTGGTTTTAATGTGAGATCAATAATCCAGATAAGAGTTAGATAAGTTTGTTTGACCATCGCTTACCTTGTTGAAATAAGGAGAACGTAGTTCCTGTCGCCACGTTTCGAAGTTCATAACATTATAGTTTGTATGATGGAACATGTCAAATGGTTTATTAAAGACCAGGTAGACGGAGGGTCAGGAGTCAGGTTCTACTATACAGACTGTGACCAAAGATGCTGTATTTCTCAGGGAGCCTTCAGACGGGCCGAAGAACCCTGACTTGACGACCATAGATGGAGGACGACGCCGAGAGAAGAGATCTCACCCCAGGAGGCCACGGCGGCCGAGGTCCAAGGCACACAACCCTTCCAGGTTTGGCTACGAGATCACCGACGTTGATGCCTTCCTCAGCAAGGTAATTTCACTTCTTGTCAGAATTCAAACTAATTTTTGGACCATTTCCGTTGATTTACCACAACTGTATAATTTATAACATAGCCTTCTGTAATACAAGGCCGCGGCGAGACCAAAGTGGCAACGCCGCAGTCTCGGCCTATCGAAACAGATTATAACAATAAGCTGATGATGTATTGTATTCATAATGGAGCGTCTGCGCAATGTTTATGTTTACACGTTAAACATTACTGATATTACCATGGAAACATGCTGGCCGGTGTGACGTTGCAACCATTAGTATTCGTGCTACCATCGATCTCTATAATAAATATCGATTCGTGGATGGTTGCAACCGTTGCAACACATTAACACCGCGGCCTTATGCAACACTACATAATCTAAGGTACATAGATAAAACATACTGGTTTAGGATATGCATGAATTCTAACCTAACTAACCCTGAACATGATGAAGTAGACGAATAGCATGGAATCTTTCAACAAATTTTGGAATTGATACAACAGAATTTACTTAATTTTGTACTATTGAGTGCATTGTTTGTAAAAGACTTAAATTCGCTACAATTTAAATGAATAGTACAGTTTCATTTATTAAATCTAAAAGCACGTATTGTCATCTGAAGGCATGTTATCTTTAAAATTAGTTTGTAAAATTGAGCACCAAATATATTAAATTTTGGTAGTAACCTTAGGATTTTGATAGCAAACTTTTTACTTTAGGTATTTGTTATTTCAACAGAGAACAGTTTGAATTTATAATACAGTACATGAAATTTTAAATAATAATCTTGTAACGTTTAAAACATTGTACAAAAATGTATTCATGCGGTTATTTATATCGGACTTCAATTTATGCTTCAAAACGTGATGGCAAACGAACGGCTTCGATGCACGATGACGCATGAATCACTAATTTATCAACATCCCAAATAACCAGTTGAGGTGGGAACCTAAATCTCTTATTACTCTGTGTGGTGTGCTTCAATGAGACGAACAATTATATTTAACAAGAGTAGATGTGTTCTAATTCATCATCTCTGATTGGCTGATGGGTGTTATGTCTATTACACAGCCGAACTTAATCTCGTCTTCTTTATAATGGACCGTAGTCGACAGAAACTGTAATATTTTTCATCCTCTTATTTTAAGTTTTAAACATGATCATTTATCGTTATAATTTACAAACAACAATCACTCACTTACCAATTCAGAGCATGCTTATAGATTCAATCTTGGGAATTCGGAGTATACTGTGATGGAACTCAACGTTTGAAGTTCATGGATTTTTCATTGATAGCGTTGTTAGTTTGTATATATACACTTATTTTTTACAAATAGCCTTAGATATTATTTTTTGGGCAAGTATTTCGTGTCTGCGTCTGTGTTTGTAAATGCAGTGTAACGTAGTTGGCTATTCATGTAACGCATAATTGGTTAGTAACTCGATTCTGATTTGATCCTATTCAGGCATAAACTGGCAATCATAGGATTTGAAATTAAATCGGAAAGCTAATTTTGATGGCTCCAAACTGAACCTGGTAGTCCTTGATCATTGGACTAGAATAGCCTTGTCTAAAAAAGCAACTAGATTTATTTAGTCAGTAACAAATTAACATATAGATTTTAGACTAATCAATCAACCATCTTCAGCAAAAATTTAGTAACCAAGATGATTTATATATTACAAAGTGACACAGTACATATAAGACTATTAAAGGTATCTAGATATAGCTGAATCATCAAAGAGATTTATATTTTACTGTTTTGTAATTGAAACTGGAAGCTTAAAAACTATTTCCGCAACGTTCCAGCTACGTAGCGTGTACCTATCCTATGTTGTTGGCACTAACCAACACAAATAAGGGATCAGCTTGGAAATTCTGAAACGCCATAATTCTTTTCGAAAAATGTCTCAGAAGATTCTTTAACATAGAATTCAATTTCCGATTAAAATGTATCACCAACTAAACTGTATCACTTACAACTACCTACGATGCCTTCTTCCAAGTTCCAACCTCTTTCGCAGTTCGTAGAACTTTTATCAACTTGATCATGTTGTCCCCAGGCATCCCTGGACAACCCAGGCAACATCCCCGTTGTTTTGTCCTCGCCCTGTCTTCTCTACCAGACACGTCTGGGTGGACACCAGGAGGAACTCTCCCTGCCGCTGGGGATGGTCGTCAACGCTGTATTCAAAAACCAAGGATGGCTATACGTGCAGGTGCTTTACCACCAATTCTACCAAGATAATTTTTAAGAGATTGTATTTCCAAAACCTATAATGTAGCTAGCCATTTTTCAAAAGACTTTGACACCTTCTTTTAACTTTGAATTTTCCACATGGATTTCAAATGCTTCAACTTGGAACGTACAAGGCAAAGGGTTCAAAAACAAGGTCTTCCGCTGTCAAGGTGTTCCATTGACAAGCTAAAATCAATGAACGACATGGCCCAGTAAAAGAGTGATCCATCCTGATGAATTTGAAATGGAAGAGCCGAGATTAGTTTTTTACCTACCGACTGAGCCGATTCACCTCTACTTCACTATAGGTCAACCGCTTGGAAACGAACCTGCGCGCTTATGGTAACAGCATTAGCGCGCAGGTTCTTTTCTAAGTGGTCGACCTATATAAGCTAATCAATCCGTAATTAATTAAACTGTGCCAAAGCATCAAGTATTATAGGTACTTAGGTTACAAGGAATGGTGCCATTCGATTAGTAATGTTTGTTGCCAAAGCCTAACTTGATCTCTTTCTTTCTTCAGACACCTCACGGAGAGGAGGGTTATGTCCGCTACGCCGCTTGCCTCCCCTTGGGTATTTTACCACCAAGGACACCAGCGCCATGCTGGGAGACACACACTGACATTTTCCCCATGCCACTAGGTAAGTGATGTGATACTCATATATTACTTTCTGACACTATTGAGCTTTTACGTTCACCATAGTTTCTGTAGCAAGCGTTATTTCCGCTTAAAAGTATTTAAATTTGGCTTTGATTCATGAACTACTTTTTGTATTTTAAAAATACTTACACAGTCACAGTATAACAAAATAACGAAGCCAGATACTTGGTTGTACTTAAGGAATGAGAAACATACACGACAGGTCATATTGGAAGAACCTTAAAGAGTTTAGAGACGAGCTGTTGCAAGAGTTACCACCCCTAAATACGGGAGCCAGTTTCCATACATTTTCTTGAGCTCCAGCTTCTGAATTTTTCGTTTTCATTAGTAGAGTTCATAATTTTTCATAGATAATGTTACCAAATCCTAGCCAACTGTTCACTGAAGCAAATCTTTAGATTTTATTGCAACTTGAGTGGATCGTGAATACTAACCAAGTGATTTATCATAGACTTTGCTCTATTAGTTCTGTGTATCACACTAAAAATCAACGAGTTCCTTTATTTTAAAAGAATCTAAAGATACACCCTTCATAGATTCTATATTTTTTCATATTATGACATAATTATGTCTTTTAACCCTCTTCTGGTTGAGTTGTACAAATTGAACCAAAGAACATGTATAGTTTAAGTATTTCTTTTAGTTTATAGTTGAAATACATCAGTTTACTGGATTAGTTAGAACAAAACCCATAGTTACATGATAAAGTTATATTATATTGCTCCTGAACCTTCAAATACTAATTTTGTTCTGAAACTCCCCATTTCTTACTATTTACATAACTATTTTATGTTTTGTAGGAAACCGCACGGACGTGGACAAGGTCCGCAGTGGTACCAGATCCGAATGTGGCGGGGTGCGGACCAAGAAGCACGACGGACGAGACACGATGTCGGCGTGTGGAGAGCGGAGTGTAGACAAGCTGTATCTCCGAGCAACGTCTGCAAGAGCGAGGGCGGGGGCTGCCGCTACCACCAGACATACGCTTTTAGTGAGGAGGCTTATTCATTGCAAAGCAATAATCCCATATTTCTAGGTCACGAATATTATAGAAACGGGGTGGCTCATAAACATAAATAAATTACTTCACTCGCCCGAATGTCAATACTAATAGCAGTTTACAGTAGGATTGGGCGTGTTTGTACAGTTCAATCTTATATATTAAAACGTGACGGTTTTCTTTATTTCACGATTCTGAAACAACCACTTGTCAGATTTTCGTCATTTTTGTGTCGAAAGATTCGTGGTATAATCTGTTATAACTCCCTCACACATAGGGTACCAGTATGTTTTGAGGGGAGGTTAACCACCCAGGGGGGTTTATGGGACCTGTCCCTTGATCCTTCGTCTACCTGGGAATGGGCCGGACCCCCGGACCTGTCCCAGGCAGATAAAGGGTCTGGAGCAGTTACCATCATATAGATTATAAACCCATCCTTTACAGTTACCTTATCATTCTGCCTTGTTCACAGGTTTGCAGTAGTGACTATGAGGCGCGCGGACGCAGCACACTGACCGTCTCTAAGGGAGACGTCGTGGCCCTTATCAGCGGACATGTCAAGGACTGGTTCTACGTCAAAGATAGACAGGGCCAGGAAGGGTTCATCCCTGCAGCAGTCGCCGGCCACGGGTTCCTATGAGTAGGAAAGAAATGTCGAATCTAGGACAAGTAGTATGTTCATTCTGGGACATAGTACGACAATGATATTCTTAGTCAAGCCTTGTACGTTACTTTCAACTTAAAATTGACATGTATATATAGATTAAGCTGTAAATTAGTGACTGTATTTAAAATAATTTCTTGAAATGTTATTGTTAGCTCTTGTTTAGAAACAAGATTTTAAAAATAATAAGTTTTCGGTCAAATAGCTACTCGTTTACAGAACATATTCCCATTATAGTCATAAACATATCTTTATAAGTCTGGTGATTAAAATATACTAGTGAACCTGTGCGGCTCAATGCCCCGCAAAATAACATATGAATTTAGAAAACAAATTCATCGTGTTATATATTTGTATCGAATTTACTCGACGTCGAAAATTAAATACAGTAATAATAAAGCCTTAGAAGGGAAGCAGTCCAGCCATTTTCTAGCTGTATGTGTATTACATTTAGTAAATTAATAAGTGTTCAAGTTCAAGTGTGTTCCTAGTTATTTTTTAAAGATTTTTAAAACACATTTAACAAAACATTTGATCATATCAAACCAATAGGCCTATGAAGCATATTTTGAGGGTATTACAATGCTGTTTGAAGAATATACTTTAAAAATAAACACTAAAAAAACAATATGTTAATCACAAAAGCACTTCCACGAATACTACGATTTTAGTCTTAAAGTTGCCTTCAGGAAGATTACCCTGGTCAGAATTTTCCGTAATGAATATGTTTTTGCCAAAGATAACATAAATTAGCATTTTTCCATTTTAAAAGGTAACTTAAGTTTGTTTCAGACGGGCACATTTTTATCCTCGAAATCAAAATATGTCCCCACTTACTTGTCCCAGTTAAGACTTTACATTCTATTAAGTTGTTAACCATTCTGATCACATGAAGCCTTGTGCCATTAAAATGAGGACCATTTTTATGTATTAATATTCCACATCAATAAAACCACTGCCCCATTTTATTAGTCTAATCTGTGTCTTGGCAATCCACTGACCTCTATATTTAAAAACTCAGTTGGATTTCTAGATGGGTGTCTCCGCCTTCGTCTGTTTTCGAGGACCCACTCTTCTTCCTCTTGGCATACTGACAAATTACCTAACTTGTCAAGTTCATGTACTAATTCATTAATACTGTTAGTTTATAAAGAAAATTAGATAAAAGTTACTTGGCTCGGTGCTTTCATAACTGCAAACTCAAAATACACCCAGAAGTAAAAAAGACTCAAGTTATTGGTTAAAAAAACTATGTTTGTGTAACAACATTATTCACATGAAGTAGATGATTTTTTTATTTGTCAATCAGCTGTTTTGTTTAAAATGATTTAATAATGTCAAAGATTTGTGATTTTAAATATATAAATTATTATAGTAAAGTTTTCTAAATCATGGTAACTTATTCTCAACTAAATTTGACTATTCCCAGCATTAAAATAAAGTAGGGCATATTAAGACCCATTATGGGTAAACTTTTAAGGTACACAATCCTTGATTGAAATGTAGTATAGGCTACATTAACAGTCATAACACACAGCAATTATTTTAGTAGACTTTGACTATTTTCAAGTAACAAACATATGTTTCTGTAAATAAAAATCATCTTCCATGTTATCCTTATGGAGAAATATGAAACTTTAAAGGGCCCCAGGGCCTCACTCTCTAATTATTTCCTTAAAAAAAGAGTTTCCTGCACAACTTCACGTTACGCTCTTTCCAATGACACCAAAAACATGACAATCGGTTCAGTAGTTTCGGAGGAGTAATTGTCACAAAAAATCTGCTTGCGTATTAAATAAGTACTAGTGGTCGTCCTGTGGTCGAAACTCGACCAAAAATAATTAATGTACAGACTTCTCTATTTTCTCCCCACACTGTAAATAACACATGTGATTTGAATTTCTTCCATTTGTTTTGATTTTCTGTTTACATTTTGTTGTTATTTCGTCACCATCATGGCAACCCATATGCTCCATGTTAATTTTTTGAAGTTTTCAAATTAATTTTTTGTGCTTATTTGTTAGCCTATTTTAATATTTAGAGGCATTCTGCACATCTACAGGAAAATATCTTTCCAACAGTATCCGTAGATTTTTTCTGCGATGCACACGACCTGAGAAAAAAGGTTTTAAAGAAACATGCTTGCCTATTAATATATAGATAGATAGATTATTAAATTATTTAGACTCACATTTTAACAAAAACATGGCGAAATTGTATTGTATTCTCATCTTTGTTTTAATCAACCGATGTGTTAAAGATGTCAATGAGAATAGCTTTTAGTTTTAGACAACAGTGTGTTCTAGCTTATTCTGTAAATCGCCTAAATTACCTTCAATAATTATTTAGCATAACGCATAATGTGAATAATATTTTGTACAGGTATTAATTTATAAACTTATTTTTACTTGTCATCTGTATGTTTATATTGATGTGTATGAGTAGAATAACAATTACTGTATTGATATTTCAACAACGAAGAAAAGATGTACTGTAATATGATAATAAACCAGGTTTCCTCTATTGTCTTGTGTTTTGATAATTATATAATCTTGCCACAGTAAAATTACTGATGTAATATAATAATGTGAAATTGCAAAATGGTTTGACGTTAGTTAAATTCAAGGAAATATCAATTCAGTAATTAAAAAAAATAACTTCATCTGCAATGTATCTAACCTACTCCATGCGTTGACATTTAATTCAAATAGTCAATGACTAATCATGAAAATATTATATGGACATATTTAGCAAATACACATTTTTATTTGCACGAAACTACTTGCACCCAAGAACCATCTAAGTTAAATTAAATATCAGCACTGTGCGTCTCTTTCAATGTTTCAAATATATTTTCAACTGGTGGTCAAAATAATTAAATCTTGTACAAACTGGAAAGTCATAAATTTGAGTCTCATACTTGACCATGCTCCTCCTTCCTCCTTATTAACTCCAAAAGAGGATTCAAATTTCCTCTTCATTTTGCATTTCCTTTTTCATTCCTTTTCTTTTTCCTTTTCCTTTTCATTTCTTTTTCATTTCATTCAAATTTCCTTTTCATTCTTGCATTTACATATACATATTACTATTTTAGCTTATTGAGGACTTTTTTTAGATGTTTGCAGCCTCTTTGAACTTTGAACTCGCCATTTTGTATAAACCAAATTGTGTTGAATGGAATATATTAACCTAATTATGGTTTTGTTATGTCTTCTCTAAGACTGTTTATAATTCATTTATACATATTTTTACTATCATATGTTTTTCTATTGTTTTTGTTTTGTAAACATTCATGAAATAGATTTTGTGTTGAGTTAATATGCGTGCATTTATTAATTATTTTGTAATTAATAAGAGTCATTTTAATTGGCGACGAGTGTAAAAATCAACTAGCCACTGAAAAATTCAACACATTTACTTTTAAAAATTACATTCAATTTCTAGTTTCAAGATACATTAATATTTTATACAGTTCAAACTATAATGGATGCACAACAGTTTACCTTACTTCTAAACACATTCAATGAACAACAAAAAGCACTTGTACGTGAGATGTCAAACATGTTTCAAGCTCAAATTCAAACAATTGTTACATCAATTGGAAAACCCAGAGAAGAAAGCTGTCAATCTACAATGTCAAATGTTGCTACATTCGAAAACTTCAATGCCAAACAAGAAAAGTTTACCAGCTATTTAGAACGTTTCGAAAACTATTATACAATGAAAGGTTTGACTGATAAGAAGAAAATTGCTCAGCTCTTGTGTAATTCTATAGGTAGTGAACATTATAACAACCTATCTGCATTTTTGGGCCCAGACAAGCCACTCAAATCATTAGATTATGAAACTCTGTTGAATGACTTCAAGAAACTATTGACTCCAAAGAAAAGTGTTGTTGTTGCTCAACATTATTTCTTAAATATCTTTCAAAAAGAAAACCAGTCAATTTCAGAGTTTGTGGCCGACCTCAGACGTGATCTTCAAGAATGTGAATTTGCAGTAGAATGCTCCAACGATGAATGTGGAACATCTGTGTCAATTGCTGATGTTTTCTTGCGGGCACAGTTCATACGAGGATTGAAAGACAATTGGCTTAGGGAACACCTTTTACAATCCGTTTACACAAAGTTTGATGACATTCTAGAGAAAGCTATTGCTCTTGAAGCATCAAAGGTTGAAAGCAAAGAATTTCACCAACATGCATGTTCTAACAACTTTAATATGGATTCGGCTGGAGTGCACAAAATTACAAGGTCTTCCAGACGATCCCACCAGTTCTCTAACAATCGCTCATCCAACAAGACATCTCTCAACTGGAAACAACGTTCAAATAACAAAAGACCTGACTTCAATGCCCTCGGAATAGAAGGCCTCTGTCTTAGATGTGGAAGTAACAAACACATTGCTGCAAATTGTAACAGACACAAGTATAAACTCCAATGTGGGGAGTGTTTAAAACGAGGACATGTCTCTGCGGTCTGCATAACTACACTGATGTCAAGGACTAAGAAATCAACATCAAAGTTAAATTCAACCAACAACCTACATTCAGGATCAAATGATGACGATTATTCTAGTGACGACTCTTCTGATTACGGAGTGCACAAAATTGATTCGATCTACCAGAACTTTGATGTCGTAGATTTATTTGAAGTTGGATATGATTCAGACAAGTACATTGTTTCTGTCACTATAAATGGAAAATTGCAATGTTTTGAAGTTGACAGTGGGGCTAAATTTTCTCTCCTTGCGAAGAATGACTTTGAACGTCTACATCTGAACGTACCTGTAGAACCATCAAGGCTAGCTTTCCGTTCTTACTCTGGAGACATAATCAAACCAGAGGGAAAGGTATCAGTTTCTGTATCATACAAGGGTAAACAGTTCAAAGGTGACCTTCACATCGTCCCTTCAGGTCATGATGCACTTCTAGGGCGCCAATGGATCCGAGGACTGGGTATTGAACTGTGTGAAATTGACGCTGAAATGAACCGACCAGCTACTACCCTTCAATTACAACCAGTAAATTCAGTTGAGGAACTGTTTGAAAAATTTGCGCCAATTTTCGAGCCAAAAATTGGATGCGTTCCAAACTTTACAGTATCATTACATCTTCGATCAGGAGCAAAGCCTATTTTCAATCGTGAACGGAACGTACCTCATGCTCTTATTGATCAGGTCAACAAGGAACTAGATTTACTTGAAAATGAAGGAATCATTTCGCCTGTTACGTCAAGTGATTGGGGGTCACCACTAGTCGTGATACCTAAGGCAGATGGAAGTGTTCGTCTCTGTGTCGACTACAAGTGTGGTGTGAATGAACGAATAGTCCAGGCAAACCATCCTATTCGAAAAATTGACGATGTACTCGATAGTTTGAGAGGATCTCGTTACTTTTGTAAACTTGATCTGTACAAAGCTTATCTGCACCTCAAGGTCGACGAAGAGTCCAGTATTATCCAGACAATGTCAACACACCGTGGAACATATCGTGTCAATCGTCTAAGTTTCGGAATAAAGACAGCACCTTCTGAATTCAACCGAATTCTTACACAAATTTTGAAGGGGTTGCCTAAAACCGAGGCCTACTTTGATGACATAATTTGCCATGGCTCAACAATGGATGAGTGCAAAAGAAATCTACAGGCCTGTCTTCAACGACTCTCAGATTTTGACTTACACATAAACAAACAGAAGTGTTCATTTTTTCAAGAACAAATAGAATATCTAGGACGAGTGGTGGAGTTAAACAAAATAAAGAAATCTCCTACCAAAGTTCAAGCTGTTAAAGAAATGTCACGTCCATCAAAAGTTGAAGAATTACGACGATTCTTAGGAATGGTTTCTTACTACTCTCGTTTCTTTCCAGATGCTTCAACTGTCACTTTTCCTTTGCGACGTTTGTTACGCAAAAATAAGAAATGGGAATGGACACCAGAATGTGAAAAGGCTTTTCAACGAATCAAAACTGAGCTCTGCAGTAACAGGATACTCGTACCTTTCGATCCAAAACTACCGTTAGTCCTCACCACAGACGCTTCACCTACTGGACTAGCTGCAGTTCTTAGCCACTTAATAGATGGTACTGAGAGGCCAATTGCTTACGCCTCACGTTCACTCACTGATGCCGAATGTAACTATAGTCAACTAGACCGGGAAGCATTAGCCATAGTTTTTGGTGTCTCCCACTTCTATTATTACCTATTCGGGACTCAATTTCAACTTGTAACAGATAATCAGCCAATATCTAGGATCTTCAGACATGACAAGGCTCTACCACAAATGACTTCAGCTCGTTTACTCAGATATGCATCATATCTGTCAGGTTTCAATTACAAGTTGGTGTTCAAAAAGGGCATGGAAAATAAAAACGTGGATTGTCTCTCAAGAGCTCCTCTTACACAGCCTCACTCTACTAATGACAAGAAAATCGGAAAAGAGGTACACC